ACCAGTTTGGCTTTTTATATAGGAGCAAGTCTGGTAAGACTGAAAACTAGAATGTGTGGGATTCTTAACCTTGTGTGTGTGAGGGGGGCTGTCAGAGGAAGACAGCTTTGGGGAGTCGGTTCTGCTCTTATGCTATGTGAGTTCTGCTCACTGTGTCATTCCCCAGCCCTGTATGGAAACTGTTCGGAGCCACTGCTTTAACTAGGACTTAATAACCTTGACATGGCTGTGTTGATGAACCTCGGAATCATAAAAAAGCCTCAGGAGTCTAAGTAGGATCAGCTGCTTTTGAATGCTTTGAGTCCTTTTGTGACATGTAGAGTTTTGCTAAGAAACGTAGGTAGGTTGCCTCTGTTAGCTGTTTTCTGAGAAAGGGGTGTTCCTCCTGACAACGGATTGACCTTCCTTCCCTTCAGGCCAAACCTGGAGTCTTCTCCATTGCACCTTGTGGGTTTCACCCCTTTTCTGGGTTGCTAAGAGGCAGTGAAGCCAGCAGCACTGGGGAGCTAAGCTGACCCTTCCACCCCTGCCTGCCCTATTCGGCAGATTCTTTCCTACTAGCTTGTTCGCATCATCTTCAGGCTCTTCCTCACCCAGCATTTCTTCTCTGCTAGGAGCCTGTTTAGGTCTCACCTGCAGAAAACAGTGTTCTTTGATGCTACTATTACAACCCAGTTGTTGTTGTTACTGTTTGGTTTTGTTTTTTCTTTTTAACCAAAAAGACTAGTCTTCAGCCTTTGCTTTTCAGCCCTGGCCGGCGCCTGTTTGGAGCTGGCTCACCATCGCTTTGACTCTACTTTAAGGAAACCACCTTGACTAGGGTTTTGGTGTTTTTTGGTTTTTATTTTTCAAGACAGGGTTTCACTGTGTAGCCTTGGTTGTCCTGGAACTCTGTAGACCAGCCTGGCCTTGAACTCACAAAGATCCGACTGCCTCTGCCTCCCGAGCGCTGGGATTGCAGGCAGTGGTTCTCCTGAAGTTGTCCTCATCTTCACTTTTTCTCTCCATGATAACTCTCTCTCTGCTGTTCTGTTGCTCTTTTAAAGTTAGTACCCAGATGCCTCAGTTCCTAAAATATAAGTTATCCAGGACTTGGGTTCAAATTCTGACTATTGCCTTCAAGTTAACGGATCAGGTAAGTTTCTTCTCAGGGAAGTTTGTATGGGGTACCTAGTACTGGCAGGTAGCACTCCATGTGAGCTGCTGCTTTTTCTGTTCTAGTGGTTGTTCTTCCTTCTGTGTTTCAGTTGGATTTGCAACAAGAACTGACAAGGCTGTCCAGCATCTATTCTGTGAATCTCTATGCTGCTATTTATATATATAGCGTGGCTACCTCTTTAGTCGCTTCAGCCACAGTCTGTTCTGTCCAACAGCTCTGTCCAAACTATTTAGAGGAGCCATTTCTACTTGGAAAGGCAGAATTAGTGTTTTATAAACATTAAAAATGAAATAGAAAAAAAAATTGGGGGTGCCTTCTAAGGCAGTGGTTGACCTGTTACTTAGCATGCTCTGTGTGACAGAACTCATGTGGACATTGTCAGTTGACTCAGCTGCCTGAGAGCCTTTTCAGAAAACAGAAACTGAAAGCCTAGAGCCATTCCAGTCCGTGCCACAGATCCCAGGACCTTCATCTTTATTGTACTCTGAGTACTATGAACTCATAAAGGCTGGGAGGGGCCCTCCCCATACCATCTACTTGTGGCTGCTCACGTAGTCTGGTGTGGTTTGAAAAGATGAGATGTGTAGATTGCAGGTGAATCTAGCATTTTCGGACTCTAACCTTTTGTTTTTCTCCCCTGGAGTGGATGTAAATTTCATATTTTGTGGCATTCTATGCTGTGTTTTGTTTTGTTTTGTTTTTAATTTTTTTAGACTTTTTTTGAGTATTCTGGAAAGGACAAAACAAAGTGGAGCAGACCATTTTTCTGGAATTGTTGGTTGGCTGGGTCACCCTGCCCACGTGACCAAGGGAACTTTTGATTTTATCTAGCAGGGGCTAGAGGAAGGATTTAGCATTAGGGTTGCCTTGAATGCTAGGTTTAAATTTAAAGCAGGGCTCAGTAGTGGTGGCCCAGGCCTTTAATCCCAGCACTTGGGAGGCAGAGGCAGGTGGATTTCAATGAGTTCAAAGCCAGCCTGGCCTACAAAGTGAGTGCTAGGACTGTTACACAGAGAAACCCTGTCTTGAAAAAGAAAACAAAAATTTAAATCAGGCCAGTTAGTCGGGTGTGCTGAGGCATGCCTTTAACCCCAACTCTTGGGAGGCAGAGGCAGGTGGAGGCCAGCCTGGTCTATAGAGTGAGTTACAGGACAGCCAGAGAGCTATGTAGTGAGACCTTGTCTCAAAAAATTTTTTAAATTAAAAAAAAAAAAAAAAAAAAAAAACACCTGTCTTCTTTAGGGACCTCCTGTCTCCAAAGCACTATTTAGGGCCTTTATAATCCAGTCTTCACTGAAAACTCCCCTGTAGTGAAAACTGCTGTCACCTAGAGGACCGTGTTCCCTTTTCTGGCTTGCTGTGCTCACCACTCACTTTTCTCTTGATGCTACTTTCACGGTTCCGGTCATGAGTATCTGAAAGAGAAACTAGGAGCGCGCAGGCTTGCGCAGTTTGCAGCTCAGCAGCAGGCATGTCTGGCCATCTGCAGGTGTTCTCGTTTTCAGGTTCTGCCTTTTCCCCTTGTCCCCGATGCACACACGTGGTTAAGAACTAATGCTGCCTTCTGGGAACTGTTAGAAGAAAAAACAGCTTTAAAGTAGGCAAATTAAAAAGAGATTGGCATGCTTATAATCCCAGCACTTGGGAGACTGAGTCAGGAAAATCACAGTTTCAAGGCAGACCTGGGCTCAGTGATGAGATGAAGGTGTAAATATGCATAAGGATTTATCAGTGATAGAGTAGAGGATTTCTCGTCGGTTGGGAGCAACCATGGACAGGAATGTCTGCAGGTACAAATAGGTAGGTAATATAACTCCATCTCCTGTATCCCTACCCTGCAACCTGCCATTGTCTACTAAGCAGCTTCAGTTACATTTCTGTCATAGAGGCAAAGTATTTTAATTATTCCTTACTAATTATGTGCACACTCCCTGTTTGGCCAACTGTGTCCTCTGAGGAAATGAGAACCACTGAAGTGTCCATTGCTGGGTCACCTCCTTCCTCCAACACAGGCTGACCACTCAGCTAAAGGGACACACCCAACTTACCTCACCTAATTTCCTTGTGCTGCTCTGACCTCTTCTCACAGGCTCTACCATGTTTTGATACAGAGCTCACTATTTCAGATGGGGGTGTCAGGTCCTATGCAATGCTAAGGCAGTGTCTAGCACACGGTGGGTTGTCACCCTAGCCAGAAGCTGCCTTTTCATTGACATTTGTAATCTGTTAGTCGGGTTACACTTGTTAGTACTGCCTGTGGCTTGTCTGCATAGAGATAATACTTATCTTCTCCACTGGACAGTAACTAAGCTTATGGGCAAAGACGCCATGACTAACTCATTTTGTTTCCCCACAATGTCTGCTTTGCACATAACTCTTACCAGATAAAAATGATTGATTGAATAGGGATGGTTTCCTCTTGAGCAGATCACCTTGAAGGTGCTATAAGAGGAAAGCCAGGAGGTTTTAGTGTTTTCGAGGACTGGTGAAAGTTGAGGCCTTACACAGCTCACCTGGACTACCTTGAAGCCTGTCAGTTGATCATTAGGATTTAGTATGAGTAAATTTAGGTTTGCCAGCTTGAGTATTGGTGTGTTCTTTGCCTTCCCCTCACTGTTGTTTCGGAGCCCTGTCATACAGTGCAGAACTGTCAAGAGTGCAAGGCTTTCCTAATGGCTCGGCCTCTGAAATGAATGCTAGACTCAGGGCCCCTGTACTACCTGGCCTTCAGCTTGTCTTTGTACTGTCTTATATGCTGGGCTGGTGGCCTGGCTTTAACTCTGGCCATTTGTGTAGTTTGGTGGGGATCTTCCAAACAGTGTGATTCTAGGGGCCCAGTAAACAGTAACCTGTTATCCATTTTATTGACATATATTACTTGTTCCCCTGATGCACCAGGCCCAGATTGCAGATTGCCTACTATAATTGTAGAGGTGTGGCTGTTTCCTGAGATGGCCCAATTACATGTCCTTCCTGTGTTGACATCAAGCATCTACAGCTTTCATGATAGTCTTTTTAGACAGGAGACAAAAATAGTGATACAGAAGGAGCATTGTACAGTTGAGCCTACTTAGCAATAGTCTGAGGGTTGGTGAAGTCTTAAGATCTTGTTGGAAAAATATGTAGCCAACTTTATTCCAAGCCAGCCCATGATATTGTCATTCTGAATCTTCTGCCTGTAGCCAGGCCCTAGCAGAGTATATGTGGCCTGAGTTTTCTTTGTGTTTTGACATCTTCTGATGTAGTCAAGCTGGGTCTAGCATGTTCAAAGTCCTGGGTTTAATCCCTAGCACCACATAAAACTGGGAGTAATTGTCCCAGAACTTAGAAGGTAAAGGCAGGAGTAACAGACTCAGCTACAAAGTGAGTGCAAGGCTGGCCTGTCTCAGGCATGGCAAGCTGAAGACTTTAAAGTAAACTAAAAAGCCCCAGAGGGTTGAGACTCTGGCTCATGGCTGCCTGGCCTTAAAACCCTATCTCAGACAAAAACTATCAGAAAAAGATCCAGAAGAGATGAGAGGAGCACAGGTTCAGAGTCAGACAGGCTGTAAGCCTGGGCCATCCACAGGCTAGCTGGTAGCTGTAAATAAGCTACTGTAGCTCTGAGTCTGGGGTGCCTGGTAGAGCTGAGCTTTGTGTAGGTAAGTTCTGTGGATCAGGAGGCACTTTGGGATAAAGGCCATAGCTAGACCTTTCTCTTTCCTCAGCTTTTCCATCTTGCCCACCCTCCTGTTTTCAGCCTTTGTTTTCTCATGCTGTTGCCAGGGAAAGACATGGTTCTCCTGCTATGCAGACTTGGTCTTTATTCTGTCCCATGGTTTTTTTTCTCATATTGCAACAGGCATCCCGGGCCCAAATCCTAGACAAAGCAACAGAGTATATCCAGTATATGCGAAGGAAAAACCACACGCACCAGCAAGACATTGATGACCTCAAGCGGCAGAATGCTCTTCTGGAGCAACAAGGTGAGCAGCCAAGCTCGTGGGGCAACTGGCCCTGCTGTGCCCGGCCAGGCTGGGCCTTTCCCACCTGAGCCTTCGGTCAGAGCCAGAGGACCATGCCTCAGAAGCATCCTCAGCCCTGCTCCACGGGCCTTCGAAGTTGAGTGTTAGCGCCATCCTGAGGAAGGACCAGACCCTCCAGTGAGGAGATGGAGGAGCTAGGGAGTTGAACATCCAAAGGCTTGTATCTTTTCTGGCCTGATCTCTCCCTTCCTTGGGGCTCAGGTGCTCTGCCTGCAGTAAGGGTCACACCTGGTGTCAGGTATCTGAACAGAGCTTTGAGGTCCTTGGAGTAGAATGTGCCATGTAAGTACAAGAGTCTCCAGGAGTTCAGGGACAGTGAGCCCTCCCCATTGTCAATAGTAGTCCAATCAGGGCAGCCTATGGGCCAGGCCCCTGCTGTTCTCCAATGCTCACACCCGCCTTTTCCTACAACCACAGGGGAAAGCGAGAGCTGATCAAGTTCTTTGTTCCTGGGGAATTCACTTCTCTTCCTCCCTCATGGAAGATGCAAGTAAAAGGAAATGCAAGTAACCACCTGGGTTAGAACATCTCACATAAAATAAATAACATGAAGGGTTGATCCTCCAGGCTCAAGCTGAGCTGAACCAAGGGATGGGCAGTGGGTGGTGGCAGCGGGTTGGATGATGGGCCAAGCAGCCTGCATGTAGGGGTGTCTGTTGAAAAGCCCAGGTATTTTGTGTGTATTGGTGACTTGCTTCCAAGTGTCCAGCTTGTCATTCCAAGTGGATTTTGTTCATAAAAGCCAAGCCAAAAGTTTTCTTTGACCCAATATATTTTGTCATCCTTTCCTGCTATCATTGGGCCTTCACACGTTCATGGAGCCTGGCATTGCTAGGCTAGCTTCTCTTCTGTCGTTGTATTGCTCCATCCAACAGGGAACTCTTGCTCTGGTCTCTCTGCTGGGTCCATGGCAGGACGGTGTCTCATCACAAGCCTTCTCTTCAGGGTGGTATAGCAGAGTGGCTGGCCATGTGTGCTGGGCCCGTAAGCCCAGCTGGGAAGGAAAAGGGGGAACAGCCACCAGAAGGGAATGATTTCTGAGCCACCCTGTGCCTTGGGGGCCAGCAAGCAAACCCTTAGGAAGAACAGGCTGGACCCTGAATCTGAAACTTGTTTTCTCCGGATCTCCAGAAGGTGGTAACATGCTCCCTTGGTTGCCTTTTAGTCCGTGCACTGGAGAAGGCAAGGTCAAGTGCCCAACTGCAGACCAACTACCCCTCCTCAGACAACAGCCTCTACACCAACGCCAAGGGCGGCACCATCTCTGCCTTCGATGGGGGTTCAGACTCCAGCTCAGAGTCCGAGCCTGAAGAGCCCCAGAGCAGGAAGAAACTCCGGATGGAGGCCAGCTAAGCCATGTGGGGCAGGCCAGCAATAAAAACTGTCGTCTCCATCGTCTCATCCTCTTCAGTTCCTCGTTAGAACCCTTGAAACCATTGAAAGACTCTTTATTTTCCTTTTCTCTTTATTAATTGTTATTTTTGCATAGAAGCTCTTGGACAACAGCTCTCATCCGGTCCCTGTGTCCACTATTTTTAAATGTATTCCCTTCAGGGGTTCCTGTCCCCACCAGAAATTTTAAACCAAAACACCCTAACTTGGCAGCTCTTTCTGTGGAGGACAGACAGCCGGCCAGACCTCTGTGTACGTGGTGTTCCTCTCCCCCCCCCCCCCCCAGCTCCTCCAGCCCTCAGAGCGTGTGCCTGGAGGGTGCCTGCTGCACCGGGCCCCTCCCAGTCCCCTCACCTCTGTTTGGTGGACTTTGTGACTCTCTGAACTGCTCTACTTTGACAAGATGACCAGATTGGAGTAATCAGAATTAACCCCCTCCTCTGTAAGGATTGTTTTTTGCAAAAGCTATCGATCCTGTTGAAAGACCAGATTCTTGAAGAAGTTTGTGGTATAAAAGGAAAGCAGGGACAGAATTGCAGAATCCTTGGCATGTTTCACTCTTCAGTTGTTTAAGCCTGCAGAGCCAGCCTTACAGAAGGCCACGTGACACTGGTATGTATAGGAGATGGCAGCAGTGAAATGGACTCCCAGGAGTGATGGAGTGGCTGTTTGTGGGTGGGACAGGGAGGGAGTCTTAGGTGGGGTAGAGGTTTTGTATTAAGGGCCAGTGATGATGTTTTGATATTTATTTCCTGCTACTGAAATTCAAATCTGAATGAAATGCCCCTATTTCTGATGATGTCGGTATTGTAAAGCGACAGATTCATACAGCGATGATCAAATCTTCATTTCTTTCTGTGTGTATTTCTAAGAAATAGAGCCAACTTTTGTATGTAAATACCAAGAGCGACTTACCTGGTACTAAACCCACAGCCCAGCACAGCCTCCCTGCCCTACTTGCCTCCCTCTGGTCCTGGAACTTGTCGCCACTGTGCGATCCGGCCCTGGCTCTGGCTGTGGTCAGCAGATCCCAGTGAAGGGTTTCATGTCTTTAGGCTTCATTTCTTTGTCTTTTTCCTACTCTGTTGCCGGCATTTTGCTGATTTCTAGTGTATACTCTGTAGTCTCAGTCGGTATTTGATTCCATTCCATGGAAATAAAAAGTATGTTGTACATACTGCCCAAGAATTGTCTTGCAAGTTAAGGCTTCCCCCTTTACTATAAGAATATAAATAAAGACTTATTTTATCCTTTTTGGTAGTGGTGTCTTCTTGCCCCTGCAATGGCCAAGGTAGTTGAGGGAGGAGCCTTCTGGAAGCTACTGGGCCTCTGGAAACTTGAAAGAAAAGCAGAGATCTCTCACTGGAGCCTGCAGAGCCAGGAGCGGCTGTAACTATACCTGTTTCTCCCTTGTGTGTCAGCCTGAAAGTGGCTAAGTGGATGGTAGGAAGCAACTTTCAGGCTTGCAATGGGTAATCAGTTGGTGGCAACAGTTCCCGATAAACAAAGCTCTTTGGAGGAATTGATGGCTCAGAACTGTGGCTCTTACTCTCCTGGTAAGGAGTGTCCCGTGTGAGAGGTGGCTGGTATTGGCCAGGGTTTTTCAGTTTCTAGAGAATTCCAATGACAAAGAGGAAACAGCAGAGCTGCCAAAGGCTGAAAGTCAAAAAGATCACCACAACATCAAGTTAACTACTGTGGACCCAGCTCCAGCCTGAACTTCTTTGACCTTTGAAAGAAAGAAAAGAATTTCTGGCCAGAAAGCATCTCCATTTGGTTTTCCAGTCTGGCTGACAGGAAGTACTGCTTTCATAGACCAAGGGACGAAGTGAAGCGAGGTAAGTTCTTTGAATTCGAATGAAGAGAGTGCTGGGGTTTCCCTCCCTCAGATGTCAATCTGCAGTGTCTGGTTAATGGAAGTCGGTGGGTAGGTCATGTGTGTACAGGAAGCAGCATCAACCCTCCAAAGTGTGGTGCACAAAAGAATACCCAGCTGTGGGGAAGCAGAACACTGATGGCTTCCTCTCCTGGCATAGGGGCAAGAAGGAGATGAGGCGTGGGCATAAGAGGCCTGGTGGTTTCACAAGTGCTGCGGGTCTGCATGCTACCTCTGTCATGGTTCTCCATGCACTGCACACTTGGTTTGATCAGGAGGAATATTAGGGATGATATGCCAGTGCAGCCAGATTGGTGAGGTGGCAAGTGCAGAAAGTTAGGCACCCAGCAGGCAGGAAGCAAATCTGAAGAGGCAGCCAAACTGGTTGGCTGGTGGAATGTGTATCTTGAGTATTAGGCCTTGGCTCCAAGATGGCATTGGACGACGTTAAGTTTAGGCTTCCCTGGAGTTCATAAACCAGTTAGATATAAAGGAGTGCAATGGCTGGCTGCGTTCTCCGGAGAAATCTAAACTACTTGATAGGCTGAGTAGGTTCTGGCAGGTGTCTGAGGAGGATGGTGCTGTGGGCAGCACTGACTGAACAGGATTCAGGGTAAAAGGGAGAGACCTGAGACTGGAGAGTGGTCTGCTGAAGGAAAGGGACAAACAGAAGTCAGGGCTTAGTCTCTTCTGGCATGTGTGTCTAGGAACTGTAAGTATGCCCCATGGGCACTTAGATCTGGCTGTGGCCTACTCAGAGAGATGTCCATCTATTCCTTTGTTTTTGTCACTACTTGGGGTCTCCACAGAGCCCAGGTTATTTGCTGGTTTCTGTTTGCTTGGTCACTGCAGTGGGTAACTTCCCTTAGGGACCTGTTGGAAGTTAACAGCTTCCTCCTTGCAGCAGTGAGCTTGGTATGACTGCTTTTGCAATTGCCCCAAGCACAGGGTGTTTAAAAATGGCCTGGTTCCTCATATGCTGGTGTCCTCTTGATGTGTCAGTCTTCTTGTCGGATGTAGAGCATCAGTTAGGCTCACATCTCTCGCCTTTTGTTTTCTTGATACATACTCTTACTGTGCAGGCCAGGCTAGCCTCGATTTATTTGGGTAGCCCAGATTGAATTGGAGATTCCAACTGCCTCACACGTGCATGCTACCACACCCAACAGCTGTCAGCTGGGACAGGTTTCAGAAACAAAGCTCAGTGGGTGGGAGGAGTGATGTGAACTAGGACTAAAGCAAGTAGGATTCTGTTTGCAAAAATGGCAGTATTTTTAATGCCTAGGCTCTGGAGTCAGACTGCCTAGGTTTAACATCATGTCTTTCATGAAGTAGCTTCTTCTCTCATCTTCAGCATCCTTACCTCTAGAATGAGGCTCATAATGGCAATAGCTTTATAAGGTGGCTGTGTGCACTAAATGAGGTAATGTGACCAGTGACAAGTACCAGATGGGAAATGCTAGCGCATCCCCCACAACTGTCTGAAGTGAGGGTTGACTTCTGTGACTCCCAGATGCCTCTCACACCTGCTCTGTTCTAACAAGCCTCAGTGACCAAAGAGTAAGGGGCCCGGGGTCTAGACCAGCAGATCCCTCAGCATTGAAGAGGACCCACAAAGGCATTAGTCGTGTCTGCAGACTAGAGTGCTATCTTTGCTCTACACACTGTTGAAGACCCAGGAAAGTTGATGGTAGCCCCAAGTAGGTTGGACTGTTCCTAAGAGTGCTTGTTCAGGGGATTCCAGGACTCCAGCTCCCCCTGACCTATAGCACTCTGCCTCAGGGCTGGAGTTAGCATCACAGGTGGTTCCTGGAGCAAGTGAGGCTGGGCTGACTTGCTAACATGCATCTGAGGTCTGATTACCCTTGGAAAATGAAAGTGGCTGCCTCGCCATGACACCTGCTCCAGTATGGCACCCAGAGTCTTGAGACTACCCCCATTACCCTTTTCAGATGTCCCCTGCAGAATACCTGTGTCATGACACATGGGCTGGGTTCATATGTTTGTGATCCTGCTGGAGCAGGGCTCTTGTAGCCTGGTCTCAGTCCAGGAACACAAAACTCAAGACTTTGTTCAACAGTTTCTCTAGGCTAAGAGGAGACCCAGGACAAGATTTGCTAGCCTCTGTGTGACAGGGTGGTAACACACCCCCTACTCTCCCTAGGGAGAGCATACACAAACACTTCCTAGTTAGTTCCTTGGGATAAAGCACCAGGTTTCTGGGCATGGTAGCACATGCCTATAATCCTAACCCTTGGGAGACAGAGCCAGAAAGATGTGGAGTTCAAGGCCAGCCTCTGATGTGCAGTGAGGCCCTATCTGAGGAGAGTTTTTCACTACGACGTCTCAGCAGTTTCAGTAAATGGCTGAACTGCCCTATGCCGGCATGATTGACCCCTCCCTACTTGTCATCATCACCTTTGGCTTAGTGTCATGGCTGTTGGTGCTTCACTAGGCATGACCTAGGGAAACAGACCTGAAGAGCTTCAGAGCCAGTGCTGGTGTGGCTAAGGCCTGATGATGCCAAACATTCCCATCTCAAAGGGGGATACAGTTTATTCTGGAGCCAAATATAAATGGCCACAGGCAGCGGACTCTGATTTCGATCATCCCAAATTCCATGTGCCACTGTGGAAAGTTTCATGACAATTTTTGTAGGACCAGAACATAAAGCCATAAATTAAGACACTTGAAAATCTATTGTGGCTACATCAGGCAGCCAGGTGATAGGATGGGGAAGATGGCTGTAGTCCCTGGGTACGATGTGATTGGTGGGAACTGGGGGTCTGCTCATTCATTCCAAAGGAATTCTACCTGTTAGTGGTTGCGTGTTCTAATCAGTGAGCCGGCCTTTGCAGGCAACACTACTTTTTATTAATTTTTATGTGCATTGGTACTTTGCCTGCATGTATGTTTGTGTGGGGGTGTCAGAAGCCCTAGAACTGGAGTTAATGGTTATGAGCCACCATGTGGGTGCTGGGAATTGAACTCAGCTCCCCTGGAAGGGCAGTCAGTGCCATCGCTGACTGCTCTAGCTATCACTAGCCCTGCAGATAGCACTTCTTTCTAGGAATTCTCATTCACATTGCCAGAGGCTTGCTTGCTGCAGAGTATTCATTCATTTA